GCAAATAGAGTTCAGAAAATAATTAACGTAATCAAAATATTAATATAATTTATAAAACATAAATTGCGTAAAATAATTTATGATAACCCAAAACATACGTAAAATATATTATGGTGACTTAAGGTATAATATAACTAACCTTTATATTAATTCCTTACTGGTACTCCTCCGTTCACCGAAACTCCCTCTTATTACTAACCAATCACACACTGTTTTGCTCCCCCCGACTTACTTCCATCACTCCTATTTATAGGCAATTTATTTGCCTCTCAAGGAACCACGTGGCATCACCACATGGCCTTGGTCATGCTTATCCGTAAGGATAAACTTCTGCTTGATCCTTATCTCTTTTTTTTTATACAAACTTATCTACAACAATTATTAATCTTAGTTAATATAATAATTGTACAATAACTCCTAATTACACTTTATCACATACCATCATAAAATTAATTATTTTCTTTTACTATTACTACCATTATTATTATTATTATTGTCGTGATTGGTTGTGGTATTGACTAAATATTTAGGGTGTTACATTGCTAGTTATTCTTGGTATCCAAAAAATCATTGATGATCATGTTGTAGTCTGTTTTAAATGGAGAATGTCATTTGTTATGTTCTTGAGAGACATGAGTATTTTTAACCGTTGAACTGTGGAACCTTCTTTTTTAAACAGATTATCTTCATCGAAACTGTATGCCAATCTAGTTTCTGTGATATATATCTTATTTTGGAGTTGAACCTTGTTTTCAAAATTGTATTTACTATCCATGTTGTTACTCACTAAACTATCAGCTAACTTAGTTTTTTTATCATTTCTAGGTGATAGAAGAACTTAGAGTGGACTTATGGCGTAGTGGAGACTCAATTGCATGGACCTCTAGGACATTCATTATTTTATTTTAGCTTGTTATGTCGGTTTTGTGCATAAATTTTGGTTAGGTTTCATTTAGAATTATTTTATTTTGTGGGCAGTTTGTGTTCCATTTAGTATATATTTTTAGAAGTTGGTTATGGCTAGTTTTACCATTTATATTTGTGACATGTCACTGAATTGGATTTTGATTTATTTATTTCTGGACTATTGTTACATTTATTCTTTGTGATATTGGGTTCATGTTTTGGCTAACGTGTATCTTGGGCTAAGTCCCTGTGGGCCACGGCCGGTCATGCCTGGATTAGCGGTGTGACATATTCCCTCCTTGAAAATCTTCACAGCAGGAGGGAGTAAGAATGATGAACATTTTTTAGAAACGCTCTGTCTTGCTCTGTTCCAGTTTTATTGCAACAAGGTTTTCCTCAGAAACAGTGGCCGGCAGGCCATTTTTCAGTACGGCTGACCATCTGATCAGGGCAGCCGACCAAGCATGTTGTACGGCAATGGTAATTTTCCAACAAAACAAAGTAGATCTTGAGGCCAAAATAGAACTATTTTCTGACTACGAACAGGACAACTTCTGGCAGCAAATAGAGAAGTTTCCAAAGGATGTTCTTGCTTGCGCACATGCAATTCCCTGCCTCCTATTCAAGTCCTTTAGATTAGTAGCTTTGAGATTTGTATTTTGTAATAATTAGTTTATTAATTAGTTCATTCATTTGTGTTTATTAGGACATTCAGACTCACTTGTGCGATGGGTAAATTTGTAGTATTTGTATATCTTTCAACCCCCATTTCTTTCTCCTTTTTACTTACATGCTTACCGTGGTTGTATATAGCATCGTGTTTTCTTTTATCATTCCCATGTTTTGTATCTATTTGTGCATACATTAAAATTCGCCTCATCATGCATAATGCTCTTACCAATTCCTAAATGATTATGTGCGCTACCTCATGCTTTGACTTGCTTCACATGTCATGTTACTAGCCAAATTTATTAGTTACATTTTGTATGCGTCACATTAGCCACTTGTATGTTAGGATCATGTATTTTTCTAACTATCTTCTTTTCTTCGGCTTGCCTTGTTTGAGTACTAGGTGAGCATTTTTGCTTTATCATATTAGATGTGTGTTTATGTTGCCATGCCAAGCATACTACCATGAGGCTACGTGCTTATTTGAAATACTTCTTTGAATGCTTGTGGATGAAGACTATTTCGCTTAAGTTGGAATGACTTTGATTATTGTACATATGAGCTCGTTTTTTCTTTAAGTAGCACATATTCAAAACTCTTTTCAAGAAAGCATAAAATCAAAGCATTCCAAAGTAAGTGATATGTGGTCTATACTTGTTTGCTTCACATAGTAATGTTAGTATATTAAAAATCAGAACATGAGCATATAATGTTCATAAAATTCACATCATGATTTAATAGAGGCCGATCTTTTATCAGGTGAGTGGGATGCTCAATTCATGACCTTCCCCTCTCATACCTAAGTACCCAAACCAAGACACTTTGATTATGACAGACAAGTGGCCTTTGGCATGAGTCACAGGCTTCTTAAATTTCCTAAAAATATTTAGGTGGCAATTCTGAAATCTAGCAATATAGTCCATTTTTGGCATCTCTGATAATTAATGGATTTTCTAAGATTTGTCGAATCTGGACTCTCATTCATTTTTTATGTTTTACATTACACTTATGAAACTAGATTCAAAACCACAGGAGTTCTAACTGTAGGGCGATCGCATCTGAGGAGACTAAACCCCTCCGAGGAGCGCTAAAAACCAGCTACAGAGATGTATAACGGTTTCGATTTAGACCTAACCCATTTCATGCTCTTATATCCAGGATTTCGTGTATTTAATTATTGTTCATACTCTTTTGATGTTGTTGGTGGTTGGGTTAAGTGTTGGTCGTGTTTGAAACAGGTTGAGAGTTAGTTTTTCAAAAGAGTTGTTGTCCAATTTTTTACTTGTTCACTCGAGTAGTGTTTTGGTCACTCGAGTAGTCTTTGAGATCTCTCAGTATTTTTATAGGTCTGCAAAACTTCTGAAAGTGGGATATCTTTGCTCGAGCGGTGTTTCTTCTGCTCGAGCACTCTTTTACAGGTCTGAACTTCTGGAATGGGGTCATTGTGCTGTTGAGCGGCGTTCTTGGTAGTTCAAGCAGTGTCACTTATTGTGTTTAGCGCTCGAGCGATGTTTTGGTCGCTCGAACGATGTGTACGTATATCAGTTCACGAAAAGGGATTTTTGAATCACTTTTTCATTTCCTCTCTCTCTCTAAAACCTTACAAACCCTAATTTCTTCACTCTGTCTCTCTCTCTCTAGTTCTTACTTAAAACCTCAAATACTCCATCATCCATTGATTTCTCCATCATTGCTCCTTGGAGAAAAATGTAAAGCTCGTCGAAAACTTCATTCTAATTGGAGAGGATCTTATTTTCAGCTCCATTAAAGTTTCACTCTTGCTCTCTTCCTCTACTTCTAAGGTAGAGATTTCCTCAACTTTTGATATGATTTTTACCCTAGTTATTTTCTCAATGAAAGGATTTAGTGATTTGGGGGAATTTAGATTAAACCTAGGGTTTGAATTTGAAATGTAAAAGAGGGGTTTTCAAATGGTTTCTTGAAAAAGGTTATGGGGATGAGTTCAGGGTTAAGATATGTTAAAATGTTAGAATTTCTTTGCTCAAATGTGATTTTGAAAGGTAATGGAGGTTTGTTATAAAACCATTGATTATTTGATTTATAGAAGAAAAGGGGAAAAGATGTTGAAATTGAATGGATGAAATGAATGTGTATGTTGATAAAGATGATGGAGTTTGATATATGTATCACTCCTGTTTTGAAATTAATGAGATTATATCTTTTGTTTGAAATTATCTGTCAAACAGAGATATCTGTTTTGGGCTATCGGTAAAGAATAGCTTTGATTGTTGTAGAAATTGTATGAGGATTAAGTGAATTGAAACTAATTACTCATACATCTCGCCTTGAGCATGTTTCATACTTAAATATTGAAAATGTATTGTTTTGAGAAAAATTAGTGAATACCTTGGTGAATCTAGTTAGAGGGTGTAATTGTGGTTATTATGTTAGCCTGTGTGTCCCTGGTGAAAGTCTAGAAACTTGCACGATTAGGTGTCGATCCTTCCGATTAGTACCGGTAAAATAGCTTTGATAGTGCTTGTATAGCCTACTGGTAGACACGTACCTAAAGATTCCAGTGTTTTGTATTCACTGCCCTATTTTCTGATATAAAAGGATTTTTTTTCATGAATTGATATATAATTTGTCATTGCATTGTTTTAAGATGAAAATGTGAAACATTTGACAAATGGTATGCATATGCATTCACCTTATAACTTCGTTAAGATTCATACATTGTGTTAAAGCATCTGTACTAGGCTTTGGCTCACTCTATATGAAAAATAACTTTCAGGTGCTGATGATATGCCTCCACTAAGGACTTCGTTTTAGGATGACTGTAGAGCTGAAGGCTCATTTTTTATTTCTTGTTGTAATTATTTTGTACAAGCCTTGGGCTTTAACTGTATTAAGTAGAACTCATTTTTGTTGTAACCAAGCATTATCTTAGAAAGATGTAGCCATTAGGGCATTAACTTATTTGTATGACCTTTTACTTCAATTTACTCATATGTGGCATACGCTATAGATTCAGGATTTATGATATATGAATGTATACTTGTATATGTCATCTTTTGTACGATAAAAAGATATGAATGAAAGGTTATTATTTCACATGTGATGTTACTATTGAATATCATGAGATGGATTGTTGTTATTATTATTTTTGGGGGTGTGATGAGATATGCTAGCACTCGATTTATAGGGTGTTCACCTCCTCCAACTAGGGAGTTCAAACTCAATACTTATGGGGCAGCTAAAGTGAACACTAACGTAGCTAGTGGAGGGGGACTTATCAAAGATGAACATGGGAACTGGATCAAAGGGTTTTATAGGAATATTGGGACAGCATCAACGGTTGAAACAAAGTTATGGGCTCTTTGGGACGGTTTGCGATTGGCCTTGGAACTGGATCTGAAAGGAATTCATGTGGAAACTGATGCTCAAGTTACGTCAAACTTGCAAAATTCATTCGAAAATCATCATTTCAACAATCTTATTTCTGATTGTAGGTTCCTTATGAGCCAACTGGAAGTAGCGAATGTTGAGCACATTTTTCGAGAAGCCAACAAATGCGAGGACATTTTAGCTAATTAAGGCAATGTTGCCACAAAGTGATTGCATTTTTGTACTACTTTTCCTTCTTGTATTGCATCCCAATTATATGATGATGCTAGGGGTGTTTCTTACCCTAGGACTTTTATTATCTAATATATGATCACTTATTTATCAAAAAAAAAAAAACCTTGTTTTTGTAAGTTTTACTTTGATTTGTGCCCCAAGCATTTTTTATTTTTATTTTTTTTGAATCCCCAAAGACAAGCAAAAATAGGATTTGGGGATGCTACTACGCAGCAATGCATCAAAACAACACCGTTTTGATGCCAATCAGATTTTAAAAATAATTTTCTAACCAGCAAGAGTTTTGAGCATGGGACCTCCTAAGAAGAGGCCCACTATTTAACCACCACACCATCAAGTTTCCTTGTAAACATTTGGTATATATATATTATTTATCATCAGTATAATTATAAATATATTAATATCAAACCTTGTAAAAGTTGTTGTGCAGCAACAACAAAAATACGGTGTTCGTAGTTTTAAATAAGAAAATCTAAATTCAAAACTACATGGTTTATGATCTTACAATTTATTTTTACAGTCAAACTCTTAACTATCAGTATTTCAAAAACCCTAAAAGTTTGTTCTCATCGGCCAACCATACATCTACCTTCGTCGGAAACTTTTCATTATGTTCGTCAGAGACTCTCTATTGCCTTCACCATACTATCCAAGTTTTGTATGAATAGAACATATTTTCTCTTTGAATCAAGTTAGGATGTTTCAAGAAAAAATATGTAATTTTTTTTACTTTTATGATTGTGGTTGGTTGATTTTTTTTTCCTTGCAAAATGTTAGTAGTTTTTTTTTTTCTTCTTCTTTTTTAGTCTTGAGAACTGTTGTTTTGATTGAGATACTAGATTACCATCCGTCGGTAGCAATCAAAAGTACAAACCCATTCCTTTGCAGAATGTTCTGCGTAAAAAACCCATGCATATATTGTAAATCCATTACTGATAGAAAAAGCATCCATCAAATAACAATTCAAATCATCAAACTGTAAAGAAGCCACATGCTTCAGTCAAGATGGTGTGCAAGAAAATAGAAAATCACTAATAGCAAAATTACCTAAAAATAAAATAACACTTCTTCACACCATATTTTCTCTTTGAATGTTAGGAAGCCTCAAGAAAAAATATATAATTTTCTTCACTTTTATGATTGTAGTTGGTTAATTTTTTTTACCTTACAGAATGTTTAGAGTTTGTATTTTTTTTTTAGTCCTTAGAACTATTGCTTTCATTATTAGCGTTGTATTCTAGATGTTAGATGTGTCCAATTTTATTATTACCCTTTGTACATTGCTTTGTTGATTTTCTATCAAAAAAGAAAATAAAAATAAAAAATTTGACATCAACAAAGTGAACAATAAAATCTATAAATAAATTAATATAAAATGTTTTAAAATTAATGAATGACTAGATTTAAGATTTTTTGTTGTTTAACTTTTACTTGCTTCATATTTTTAATAATAAAAACAATAATGTTAGATTTATCATATTGTTATATCATATTATGTTTATTATTTATTTCTAAACAAAAGTTGTTGTAATGGATCTAACCATGAGTGTATATCTCCAATACATTGTTAATAACTAAATATAAATAGTCATTGTATTATTATACTAATAAAAAATTTGATGATTTAAATACTTATACACTAAAAATACTATCTTTCTATAAATCAAAATGCTGGTTCTGTTTTAGAGAATACGTTATTTGTAATTCAAATTAGAGAAGACAATTCTATAAATTTTAATAGTAGAACTTGAGCATCTTATTGGATAAGTAGAATAAAAAATAATAAAAATCAAAAACTAAGACTAACATGGATCCATAAATTTATTTTTCTATCTTTCCATATTGGCAACCATATAAATATTATGTAATGACAATCTCAAAAAATCTTGTCTTACTTTTATACTTATTCTCAACTTTTTAGATTTGTTAGTGTTGGGATGGAGAGTGGTGGACATGAGGGTTGTAGCAAAGACATGGAAGAGTTGACCAAAGATTAAACTCCATGTCTTGGCATGAAGTTTCATTCAGAAGAAGATGCATATTGATTCTATAATGAATATGGAAGGACTATGGGATTTGGTATTAGAAGAGATTACCACAACAAAAGTAAAAAAGATGGTGTTATGATTAACAAGCAGTTTGTTTGTTGTAAGGAGAGCGAAAAGGAAAAAGACAAACAGTACATGATTGTAAATCATCCTAAACATGAGACAAGAACAATGTGAAATGCATTTATGTATGTATCTTTGGATTGAGACTTGTCGAAGTGGATAGTGAAAAAGTTTGATGACAATCACAACCATCCTTTACATTTTTCTCAGTGCACACATTTGATACCATCTCAAAAAAAGTTATGTCGGGCTCAGGCTTTGAATGTTGATATAGCTGATGACACTGGTATCTCTCTTAAAGCAGCACATGATCTCATTAGTTTCTTAGTAGGGGGAAAAGAAAATTTGGGGTTGACGAAAGAGGACCAAAAAAGCTACTTGCGTGGAAAAAGACAACGAAATTTGCAATATGGGAAAGCTAGGCGTTTATTAAGATATTTTCAAACAGCCGAAAATCCATATTTTTACTATGCAATTCAATTGGATGTAGATGAGATGATTACTAATATTTTTTAGGCTGACCATGAGATGATTACAAATTATGAACTTTTTGGTGATGTCGTGTCATCCGACACAACATTTCGAACAAATAAGGAGTATTGGCCACTAGCTTTATTTACTGGCTTTAACCACTTTAGAAAGACAATTATTTTTGGTGCCTCATTATTATATGATGAAACTACAGTTTCATTTGAGTGGTTATTCGAAACCTTCTTGCATGCAATATTGGGGAAAAAGCCTAGCAATTTTTCACAGACCAAGATCAGGCAATGGCTAAGACAATATCTGAAGTCATGCCCAAGATTTTCCATGGATTATGAACTTTCCACCTAATGCAAAATGCTTTGAAGCATTTAGGGCACTTGTATAAGAGTGGTTCAAAATTTGGTAGTGATTTCAAAGCTATTATTTTTGGATACGAGGATGAATACGAGTTAATTGAAGCGTGGGATTCTGTGATTGATAAATACAACTTGCATAAGAATGCGTGGATGAAGAAGACTTGGGAAAAAGAGAGCAGTGGACACGTGTATACATGAAACATTTGTTCACTGCAGGAATGAGAAGCACCCAGCTTAGTGAAAGCTTAAATGTAGCATTAAAAACGTATTTGCAAGCTTACATAACATTGTTCAATTCTTTACCTATTTCAATTAGATTGTTCTAGATAAGCGGTATGAGGAAGTAAAAGCTATATATAATTCTAGACAACAATTGCCGAGAATGAAATTGAAAAAGTCTCCTATTTTGAACCAAGTTGCAAATTTGTACACCCCTCTTATCTTTGACTTATTTCATAATGAATTGGACATATCTCTTTATTGTCGAGTGAAGCAATGCCATGAGTTAGAAAGAGAAGTTTGGTATGTGATTAGCTTGTATGGTGATGATAGAGAGTATATTGTGGAGGGTAATATGGAAGTTGATGAGTTAAGATGAGACAAAATTTGTCAAAAAAAATCATTGCACTTGTCAAAAGTTTGAAAATTTGGGATTTTTACGTGGTCATACAATTAAAGCACTTAATAGAATGAATGTAATAGAGATTCTTGAGAGGTACATATTAGGTTGATGGAGATTAGATGCCAATAGTGGTGAAATTAAGGGAGAGAAAGTTGAAGTGTATGAGAATGATCCCAAGTCAGAGATATCGATAGGTTAAAGGGATTTTTATCCTAGAATGGTAAAGCTAGCAACTCAAGCATCTGTGTATAAAGCTACTTATCAATTGGTTGATGAAGGGATTAAGAAATTGCGTGCAAAAGTGAACAAAATGATAGTATCATTTGATGGTTTGGGCGCTTGTGGTAGTGGAAACAACATTGATATGAGTTCTAATCCTAACTTTGCACGAGTTAAGGGCTTAAAAAAAAAGATGGTGGACAGAAGGGTGAGAGTAGATTAAAACCTTGGCATGAAAAAGCTAATAAGAGGACAAAAATTATTTCACAACCTACCCGCCTTAGTAAGGTATTGTGCACCTACTTGATTCTATTTTTTTTTTTACTTGATTCTACTTTCTTTCTTTTTTTTTTGGACTCATGCACTGTATTGATAAATATTATAATCTTTTTAGAAAATTGGCCAATCAAGTGACACTTCAAATGTTCAAAGTTCTTCTTTATGCCACTCACATGTTAAATTTATTTTTTGTGTTTAAATTTTCTTATAATAGTATACTTACTTCTAACGGTATTTTATGAATTAGGATGTTGGGATATCCTATTAACCACAATTGATGAATTATGGTTACAATCTTTTCAAGCATGATGATACTAAGGCCAAGTTTGGGAAAACTAAATAAGTGCACTTTTTGTCTTTTTAGACTAAAAAGTTGAGGTTGAAAATATGAATGTTTGGGTTAACTTTTTGACTTTTTATGAAAAAATGTGTAATAAAAAATTGTAAAAATTAGTTTGTAGAGGAAAATTAGAATTGGGAATTGTGCAGCCGTAATTGTTGACTTTTGGTGAATAGTAATGACTTTTTAACTTTTTGAGTAACTTTTTGGCTTTTTGACTTTTTTTAAACTACCCAAACTTGGCCTAACATTGCATGCTCATCAAGTTAACCATAGTCTACACTTTTATCTTTACAAATATCATTTAATCTGCAAACTTCTCAAGTATGCAATTTTCTTAAGTTTGTAATATAATTTGTTTTTAATGAAAAATAAATTGATTATTTTCTCACACTTATTCATTTTTTTTTTCCAGTGGATGTCATTTAATGAAGGAGAGGTCAATCCCACAGGTAGCGAGTCATTCTTAGATAATGAAACTTTTATAAATAAATAAAAATATTAGTTATTGACAACCTCCTCCACAAAATTGAAATGTAGTATTTTATTTTATTTTATTTTATTTTTCATGATTATTAGATAATGATATTTTCTTTAGCCTTCATAGAATTTTGTTTGAGCCTTGGACTTTTTTTTAGTGTTGCTTTGGATGGATATATTGTAGTTTTTGGCATAACTTGATAATTTTTTTTTTTTGTTCTTGATTTGACAGATTTTATTATTTGTTCTTGAAATAGTCATTTTTTGTTGTTTTGCTTCTTGTTTAAATGAATAGGTGTAAATATATGCATATATATATATATATATATATAAATCGAATTGAGTGACGTCATCCGCTAGTAAAAAATATAAATCCAAATAGGTGGACATTATTTCTTCATTCACTATGAAATTGAGAAAAGTGAGATGGTGACATCCACCTACTTAGATTTATATGCATATAGAATTTTTTTTTTTTTTTTGATAACACAACTTGGATATATACATACATATTAATTGTTTGTTTGAGTAATATAATAGCATGATATAATAGTGGAACGTAGTTACTCAATAGTTAGGCTTTTTGTGCCTCCCTTTTGGAGGTCTCATACTCAAAACTCTTGCTAGTCAAAAAAAAATTATTTTTAAAATCTGCTTGGAATCAAAACGGCGCCGTTTTGATGCGCTGCTTCGCGGACTGCGCAGCATCCCCGAATCCGCAGAAACAAGAAGTGGCGGAACTCAAACCCAACTATCGACCAAAAATAATCAAAGCGCTCTATAATAAAATTTCAAGTCCGCGCTTCGCAACTGATGAGTATCGCTGATGAACTCTCTCTATCCTATGCTCTACGAATCAAGCCGCCCCGTAATTCGTCTCTCCAAAACCCTAGAATTCGTCGATTCTCGTCGAATTCGTTGTATTAAACACTCGCACAAATATTAGGTTTTGTATTCGAAGCTGATTTCGAGTTTGAAAGTCTCTCCGATCAAGTTTCTCAGTTTTTGTGCTCACTGTGAGATCTAGGGTTTCGTTTCCCTGCAATTCTTGAAAGTGTTTGTGGGTTTACGAAACTGGCTATGAACTACGAGCCCTACGACAGCAGTGGTGAGTTCACTCAATCGATAAGAAAAAAAAAGTTTCAATCTTTGTCCCCAATTTTGGTGAATTTAGGGTTTTGTAGTGATTTCATTCGTGAATTAATGTTTGGGTTTGTTTGAATTATTTTCAGCATTGTCAATTTTGAGTGATTCTTTTACGTCTCTGAGTTGTGTTTCAATTTCTTCTTTTTAGTTTAGAATTGGATTCTTTAGACTGTGTCTGGCTGTGTCTCTGGCTTGCCTTTGTGCCATGGTGACTATGTAGATGTATATATGAAATTTACTGTTTTGGTATATCACGAGAGCTTAAAGAATTTTAAAAAGGCTTCTTTTTATCTTTTTTGCTTTGCCAATATGGGGATTTTTAGAGAGTGTATGCTTCAAGTGTTTGCTTTGAATTTGGGGCGTTTTCCTGTTGCCAAGGAGATTTGTATATTACATCAGTTGATTTGGTTATTATGTCTTCAAGATGTGTCACTTTCTTGAGAACAAGAAAACAGACAAAAAGATTCACAGAATTGAAGCAGACAGTCAACTAAAATGAGGTTGCAAAAACTTGACTTAAGACCTGTAAGAGCAATGTTTATTGAATCAAGGGAGAAATATTTTTTCATCAAGTTGAGAATTCATGGAAGCCTTAGTCAAATTTGAATTTGATGAAAATTTGAAAAATAAAGCATTGGAGATGATTTTTTTAAGCATGGAAGCCTTAGTCAAATTTGAATTTGATGGAAATTTGAAAAATAAAGCATTGGAGATGATTTTTTTTTTTTTTCATCAATTTGATGAAAAGTGGAATTTGGGATAATAGGGAAATTTTTAAAAAGATTTTGATGAAAGGGCTGGAGTGGTTCATATGAAATCAAGCCTTTTACTCAATTTTGGAATCAAATTAGATGAAAAAAATAGTGAAGGGTTGGAGATGCTCTAAGTTCGAGAAATGTTGCATTAGTAGGAATTAGTGGTGAAATGGTGAGATGGTGAGAATAGTGATTGGAAACTAAGGAAGCACGGACATGGATACGGTGATTTCAAAAGAAAAAATACGGCAATAAAAAAATTATTTTTATATATTTTTATTTGTTGTATAGATTAATATTACACCCACCAACAATCAAAATCAACAAGAACTAATGTTAATTCAATATTTAAAAAAACCCCACTCTTAATTTAACTCTTATCGTTTATGCCATTTTTATGGATGATGTATTAATTATTTAAATCTAATCAAAAAGTAATAAATATTCAACATATAATATCTATCAAAAACACTAAAAAAGGGGGGGGGGGGGCCTGTGTGGTCTCAACCAGAATGCCCATTACATATTATCAAAGATTGTGCTTGGAAACAAATTAAATAAATAAAGGTGTTTCTCATACTTTTCCCCGCCATGTCCCTGTGTCCGACACCTGTTTTGTAGCATCGTTGCTTCATGGATTGGAAGGCATACATAATAAGGGGAAAAAAAAAAAAAATTTGTCCATATATTATGCACTGACATGAATCACTTTATTTATTTATTTTATCATTAGAAGGAGGCAAATGCATTTTTATGATGTGTGAAACATAAAAATTAACATAGATGAACTTTTCCCCCTCCCCTTTTTGCTGTTGGTATATAATGTTTGTTTGTGCACTACTTGGCCAACATTCTTTATCCTCTTTCGGAATGTAATATGTATCTATAGACCAGTTCATCTGTAATTGTCTGTAATTGTTGCAATAGTATCTACTTCTCCATTTTGAAGGCTTATATGGCAATAAATGTTGTTATGTGCATTAGTAAACAATTTAATAAGAACAAGTCATTCACAGTCGAATTGTCTGTGTTGGATATCTTCAGCTGTTTGAAATCAGAGATACACATAACGATCCCAGTAGTCTGGATTCAACCCATGACTTGTGTCCATCTTTAGATGCTTAGGTGACTGCACCCTTCACTTGTAATAATGGAATTAGACAATATTTTCATATTTAATTTGTTCTTCTGCTTGCTTTGCTGTCTTGTTCTATGTCAGAAATTGGGATTGCTTGCTAGCTAGGTCTTTTTGGTGTGAACTTTGTGTTGCATTTGAACATTTGAAGTCTCATCTTATTTTTCATTCTGAATCAAATGCAGGAACTGATGACGATCTTCCTCCATCACATCAAGGTAGACTTCCAAGAGGTGGTCGCGTTGCAGGGAATGGAAGATCTGCTGTAATGGGTTCTGTCCCATACCCTAGGATGTATGGTGAAACTGATATGGAGGCCCAAATTCACCACCTGGAGCAAGAAGCATACAGTTCAGTTCTAAGAGCCTTTAAAGCTCAAGCTGATGCCATAACTTGGGTACTTCTTGTCATTTTATTTGTGTGATCTAATATCTCTATATTTGTTTGATCAGGTTTAAATGACTGCTCAATGAAATGTATTTTCTTCAGGAGAAAGAAAGTTTAATAACTGAACTCCGAAAAGAGTTGAGATTATCAAATGAAGAACATAGAGAGCTTCTAGGCAGGGTTAACGCTGATGATGTCATCCGGAGGATAAGGTCTGATAGTGTTATGAACATAAGTGGCCCCATTTGTCTGATTTTTTTTTCAAGGTTTGGTCTCTTCTATCTTATAATTGGTAGTATTTGGATAATGCCATTAGGGAGTGGAGACAGGCTGGTGGGATTCAACCTGGCATGCTTAGTACTGGTCAAGCTGTTCATGATCCAGTGCCTAGTCCCACTGTCTCAGCATCACGGAAAAAACAAAAGATGAATCAGTCCGTCCCTTCTCAATCATTTGGCGGGCCATCTTCTTCTTTCCACCCAAAAACGGTGGCTCCTTCCCCCCAACCATCTTCTTCAGCTGCAAAACGAGGACCTATTATGGGAGGCAAGGGCAAGAAGCATAAACCTGTGAGTTAGAAATTTAGCTGTGAAGCTTCTATTTCATCAATTTCTGGTATTCATGTTTTCCTTCCATTTTTTTTACTTAACAGGGTCAGATGTTGCCCAATGCATCGTCAATGAGAATGAAGTACCCTTCCTCAGGTCCAACTGGAAGGGGTCAACTTGGTAATCAGGTTTCTTCTAGTGCCCTTGCAAGTGAACCTGCTGAAGGAGCATCATTTGATAATTTAATTGGGAGGAAAGTGAGGACCAGGTGGCCAGATGACAATAATTTTTATGAAGCAGTTATTACTGACTACAATCCTGTTGAGGTATAGTTGGTTTTCCATGACTTACGAATTTAATTTTCTGCGAGTTTGTGCTGATGATATCTGTCTGAACCATTGTCAGGGCCGGCATGCTCTTGTTTATGATATTGGTACTGCAAATGAGACATGGGAGTGGGTCAATCTTGCAGAGGTAGATATCAGAATCCTTAAATATGAATGTGACATTGGTTATTTCCTGTCTAATTCAAAAAATAAATAAATAAATAGAGCAAATGTCACTTTATCCCCTCATGGTTTGGCCTATGTGTGGATTGCGGCCACACTATTTGAAAATAACCACATAACCCCCATGTGGTTGGGTGGGGATTGGTGGAAGCAAAGATGTCTATGGCAGTTGAGGGTGGTGGGAAAGGAAGGGAGACATGGGAAAGACAGAGAAGGGCAATGGAGGGGAGGAGGGGGGGGAGTAGAGAACTGTGAAAAGGATAGCCTGTTTTATATTATGCTGGGTTTGCGCAACAGACTGATCGGTTTCAGTCTATGATACCAATGGTGTTGTAAATGAAGCTGCATAAGAACCACTCCAGGGTTTTTGAAACTATTCACTTGAAACATTCATTCATTTAAAAGTATCTTCCTTACACAATCCCATATATATATGTTCTCAAATAAGGAAACAGAGGAAAAATGAGAAATAGATAAAATTAGAAATCAAATCTCCTAATGTATTATTTGACTTCCTCTAGATGTCTCTTGCGCCTAAAATAGGTCTTTAAACATCTTCTTCCTTGATCCCCATCAAGTAGAGAATGGGAGGAGAGTACCCTTGAATTTTGTTATGATTTTTCACTCATGAATGAAGTATCACCACGAAATGTAGGGCCTTAATCAGTTCTCACTTATATTTACAGATGACTGTAAACTTCTCAAGCACAAACTGGAAACTTTTCATTTGTCTACGGTAAGTCAGGTTAAATAACATACAAGAACAAGAAAAGCTAACCCGAAATGCAAATGAAATATATATGCACAACTTAAAACATTTGAAAAATGCCCCTCTTAATTGGCTTGCACTGCTTACAAGAAAAAAAATACAAGACTGTTGCTCTACATGTAAATGAAAAAAATTTAGTAAAAGTGTTCTTGACGCAATCGCAGTCCTGCCCTTAACTGCCTTTCAACATGAATTTTTGTTTAACATGATAATTTACAAGTGGTGGACACTGCTTATCTGTAATATCTGTTGCTTATATCAAATGGTATTAGAAGTTCTATTTCGTATCAATCTTGGAATATCTCCACCCTGCTTCTCCTTCACTGTTCTCGTTTCCCTAACAAACAAAATAATTTGTTTCTCCCCTTCTCCTCTCCCTCTCTCCATCCATTTTTCCTCTTTTCAATACAGTGTAAGAGATTTTGACTAGTGATATCCGTTGAGACTTCTAAAACTCATACAAAAAGACACCCAAGAACTTTCTTCATCCAAACTATTACCCATGGATGACCACTTTACAATCCATTTAGAAATTCAAAAATAACAAAACTACCCTTGACTCATAGAAATTTAAGAGGTATATAAAGCTTTGTGGCAATATATGCTTGGTTATCATTTTTCAAAAACACTTTTCAGAAAATTCTACTTTCTTATTTTCCGTGTTTTTTTGTTTTTACTGAATATTTTTAATATTTTGAGCAATTTTTTAAATTTTTAGACATACCTAACATAAATATACCTAAAAAGTAAAAAAAAAAATATTGGAAAAAACCTTTTAAAAATTTACTAAATACCAAAAATACAAAAAAAAATATGAGAATTCAGTACATTTTTTCTATTTTTATGTATTTATTAATTTTTAAAAATGTTTTTTTACAATTTTTTTACTTTTTAGATGCATTTAAGTAAGGTGCATCTAAAAAAGTACAAAAAAAATGTTTAAAATTTTAAAAATATTCACTAAAAACAAAAAAACACGAAAACTAAAAAATTCAGGTTTCAAATAACTTAATTCAAAAAACTCAAACCAAACACACTGATTAGGATTTAAAAATCAAAATGAAGTTCGGAATCTGTCACAACTAAAACACAAGCCATGCCCCAACTATGCCTGCCTTGAAATTGATCAATTTTCATAAATTTCCACTTTAAATACTTTTTCAGTCTTCCTAGTGTGTACACCATGATCTCACCAAAACGCTACGTCATTCAGCTCTCATGAGTGGGACAACTAATAAATTATTATTAGCCAGGAGTGTTGACACAGGACTTCTCTGTTGCTCCCATAGCATATTGAAAAATCTTCTGTGAAAACTTATGCTTTTAGATTAGCTGGTTTCAAACATATTTCATCTGTCCTGGTTTTGATGGTTCCACTAGTGTAATTCATGATAAAGTGACTCAACAAAAAAAAAAAAAATGTGACTCATGTCATGCCAAAGTGACCATTAATTATATTTCCAGTAATATGGTGTGGGTCATTGATGTATTGCAAACTGAAACTAATTTAGAGGTTTGCTATGTATGCTGTGAGTGAAGTGTTTTGGGGACAAATGGTATTGTGGAAATTATACTCATGTCACTGATGAAACACTGATTGATTCTTAACTAAATGTTTACTAATAAAGTTTGTCAGTGATGTTTTAAACACACACAAATTGAGGGGTTTGTGATCTTATTTTGCAGGGCCAATTCAATGGGATTGATATTTGTCAGTGATGTTTTGAACACACAAATTGAGGGGTTTGTGATCTTATTTTGCAGGGCCAATTCAATGGGATTAATTGGGAAATTGTTTTAGCTTTTACATATTTGTGGTATCATCATAAATGTGGTTCATTAGATCGACCATCTGAGGAAGACATACGGTGCATCTATTATTTAGTGATTGAGTCGGACAATGGATGGAATGAAATAGTAATTTTAAGTGTTAGTAGTTGCCCATCCCTGTAATAAATGTTTTATTGCACACCCTCATTCTCTAGACCCTTCTTTCACTCAATTTCTTACCCAAACCACACCCTACTCAAGAACGAAAGGAGGTATTTTGGGTATAGATATTAAATGTTTTTCCTTGTAAAAAAAGTTTATATGCTTCTTTCACCCATGTGTATAGATGTTGGTTGGATCTTCTTGTGTTTAGATTCAATTGCCAAGAATTTAATGGAGAACTTGACTCTAGAGGGTTGAATGGTGGTGAGGATTACTACAGGGTTGAGGATTGAACCACCAAAGTAATTGAGATGAAGGCTGTTGAATTTGAGGCAATGAGGCATACACACTTGACACCAGTATTTATCCACATGTTCAATGACATGACTCAAATCATATTGTGGAAGTGCTCAGAAAACTGTGTCATTTGAATATCACATTTGATTAAGTACTAATCTTTAAAAATAATAAAATAAAACTAAAAAAAAAAAACTGTTGGAGATTTCCTTGCTTGCAGCTTTTATGGATTAATCAAAAGCATTTTATTTTATATCTCATACTAGGCTTGTTATTTGTTAAGAACTGATGTACTTTTTATTATTATTATTTTAATATCATTACTTATGGTTGTATTATTCGAATGCGCTCAATTTTTCATTTTTTGTTTGTTATGGCAGATTTCTCCTGAAGATATTCAATGGGATGGTGAAGACCCTGGAATTTCTCGTCCAGGGGGTTATGGTGGACCAGGACATGTGATGGGTAGATCTGGTGGACGTGATGGTGGTCCAGCAGGAGGAAGAGGAAGGGGATTGACGAAGAGCCAATTGAGGAAGGATTTTCCTCCATCACAGAATGGTATCGGAAAAAAGGGATCGGATGAAATTCAAATATTTCACACAGACACTCTAATTAAGGAGGTCGGTGGAAAGCAATTTGATTCATGTCACTCTTTATGTGTTTATATATTTTTTTAATTATTTTCATTGTCTAATGATAGGTGGAGAGGGTCTTTGGTGCTAGTCATCCAGATCCGCTCGAAATTGAGAAAGCAAAGAAGATGCTAAAGGTCAGCGATGCAACCATGCAATTTGGTGAATTGATTTTCCTTTGTTAGCAATACACATAACAAGGTTAAGAGTTTTCTTTTTTTCTTTTTTTCTTTTTTTTTTGGGCAATGCAGGATCATGAACAAGCACTTGTTGGTGCAATTGCCCAGCTTGCAGATATTTCTGATGGTGAAAGTGGTATAAAATTCTTTAAAATATTTCTATACTTTGTTCCATGTGTTTTAAATAGTTCTTCAAAATTTATTGTCTCACTTGCACTAGTAATATTTCATAATCAAGATAAGTCTGGGCACCTCATGATAAAGTTTGGGTAACCTTTGCCCTATCATTTTTATGGAAAATTTCAATATCTTGATTGGGGTTGTCAGGAGTATAGGACATTTCACAAGATCCTAAAAAATTAACTGTTACTATTGCGAGTAGGGGTGTGCGCGGTGTGGTTCAGGCGGTTTGAGAGTAAAATTACAAACCGAATGGCGGATTGGCAGATTGCGATTTGAGCGGTTTTTGACGGATTGGCAGATTGAAGAATATTCTAACCAATTATCATACATTTGCATAATATATAACTCTAATTTGTATAATATTTTTTAGATATATAACCCAAAGTAATTTTACATAATATGTTTCATATTTATAACTACTAATTTGTAATAAATTTATATCTTAAATCTCTCATACTCATTTTTACATTGAAATTTCATTGGAGGTTAAAAAATATATATGTATTAACTATAGCGGAGCGAAGCGGTTCGGTTGGCGGATTATAAATTTTAAAGTTTAAACTGCGGTTAGTGGTTAGAGCGGTGCGGATTGATGCAAATCGGTGCGATTTTAGCGAATTATGCAGTATTTTGCACAGTCCTAATTGTGAGGGAGGGAGAGAGGTTATATATTGACTCATGTCTCTGTTAATAAAATTCAGCAGTAAGTTGTGTTGGACACTGCAATAATTATTCTATTAATTTCCAATTTTTCCGATTTCATGCTTTAATAGCATTTTTCTTTTCTTTTTTCCCTGCTGTTTTGAAACAGATGAGGGTGGCCATTTCTTGCCCATGGACCGGGAATAATGAATTGAGGTTTTGATGTAAACTAGAACACAGCAGATGCACTGATTACAATGACTGGAGGGGAGGGAGGGGTGTTCAAATGACAATCAAATGCAGCACTGGACACATTTGAATCTGACGAACAGTGAGTGAGACGTTGAACGTCCCGTTTGATTCTAGGTCTATGTTGTATAATGCCATCCTCTGATTGTATTTTTGAATTGCTCTAGTTTGGTTTTTTTAGAGTAGACAATTTTTAGCTGGGGTGGTAGTTTTCTTCACTAACAGGCTGATGTTTGTGTAAAATTATTCTAGTGTTTATCTAGTCGTCGTGTACAAAGTTCTTTTTCTTTTTTGTTTTATGGCTAATTATTGGTGTTTGCTCTTTGTTGTGGCCATAGTTTTGTAATTCATAAAGGTACGCCCATGTCTAGTTCTTGAAATCAAATTGAGACTGCAAAGCCTTGATGGAAACCGAATTAACTGAGTATTGTGTTTGAACTAATTGATGTTTGTGTAAAGAATTGTCTCTGATTGTAGGTCATTGATATCTTGATCATCTCAGTATACTTTTGCCCTTTTGGGAAAAAGAAAGGAATTAATTGATGAAATTTAAATCCCCTCGCCCCTGTTTTGGTTTTGGCGAAGGTGATGTGAGCGATTCTTAATCAGGCACGATAGAAGTATGGTGTTTTTTGGGTGGAAGGTTCTCCTACGATAACTGGACATAAATTCTAGCTATTGTATAAACTCAAGTGATCTAATCCTAGACCCAGTGATCTCTCTCTCTCCTATTTTCTTTCATTTCATGTTCCCTTTTGATCATATATGTTTTGAATAGCTAGTTTTTGTGACTTGAGGGCAAATCATAACTTGAGGGGATGAGCTGTGCTGTCTCTGTCATTTGTGAGCTGTAGAAGGGCTGTGGAAAAACAAATATTAATGTTTTGAGTCTGTTGAGATAGCACTATCCTACAAAGAAGTGTGGCAACTGAGGAGGAGGAAAATACTTGTTAGTTTAATGGGTAAATATTTAGATTGTGTTTGAAAGTATAAAGGCAAGGAGTGCTTTTTTCGTGCCCCATAGAGAAGTGTCTCCCTTGTTGAACAAAAAAACAAAACAAAACAAAACTTGGGTGCAATTTTGTAGATTAAGTGGTGGAGTTGATCAATAAGACAATTGGCAAGTGTGTTACACCAGCAAGGCAAAGTCGAACATGTGTTGGGGTTTACATCTCACATGAGTGTGGGATTCACATATATGTGGATTTGTATGATCAATTTTCCAAATATTTGGTAGAATATTTAGGATACATAGCATTTCTCAATATTAATATATATTCTCATAAGTTGGCAAATTGGTCTTAAAATAAAAGTGTACATATATGAAGTTTATGAAGCAAAACTCATTTTGATGGAGCATTTGGGAAGAGATTGGGATGTTGGCTCCAAACTATATATTGCGAGTAGAGTTGTAAACAAATCAAGTTGTTCGTGAGCTCGGCTTGACTCAACTCAGTTTGTTAACCGTTCGACTCGGCTCAGTTTAGCTTGTTGGGTAAATGAACGAGTTCAAGTTAGAATTTTAGATTCATTTAGTAAATTAATCAAATTCGAGTTTGAATAAGTTCGGTTTGTCAAGTTCAACTCGTTTATCTTTATTTAAATTATAAGATAAATATATTATTTATATATTAATTAATATAAAGTATGTATAAATAATACCATAATTATATTATTTATATGTTAATATAATATAAATAATATTTTTATTTAATTTTTTTATTAAATAATATGTAACGCTCCAAAATAATTAACGTTAACCCATCTCATAATAGTACTACAATTGATCAATAATCTTATTACTTCTATGGGCGAATTACACTAATGGTCCCTAAAGTTTAGGGTTTATGTCACTTTGGTCTCTGACTTTTCCATTATGACACATTTTACCCTGAATTTTGAATCTTGTTCCAAATAAAGACAATTAAAGATACCATTGCTTAATTTCAAGAGCAAAATTATTAATTTAATAAAATATAAACTACTTTGACAAAAATAAATGTCAAAAAAATATTTTTGAATTTTTAAAAATTATTTCTACCCACTAAAGATAAAATTATGTAAAATTGATAAATCTCTTATACATTTGTTTGTTTATTTTTTTGCCTAATTTTTATTATGTGTTTGGATGATGATCATGTAATGGGTGATTGTTAGAATTTTAATGTGTAATCGATATATTTAATATATGAAATATTTTTAGTTTTGGATTTTTTATTTAATGGATTGATTTAATAATGATATCAAAGTTGTCGTCATATTTGACTTTTGAAAAAATATAAACTAATTTAATGAAAATAAAAACAACCACCCATTACATGATTATCATCCAAACACATAATAAAAATTAATTTGGCAAAAAAATAAAGAAATAAATGTCTAAGAGATTTATCAATTTTACATAATTTTATCTTTAGTGGGTAGAAATAATTTTTAAAAATTCAAAAATATCTTTTTGACATTTATTTTTGTCAAACTAGTTTATATTTTATTAAATTAATAATTTTGCCCTTGAAATTAAGTAATGGTATCTTCAATTGTCCTTATTTGGAACAAGATTCAAAATTCAAGGTCAAATGTGTCACAATTGAAAAGTTAGAAACCAAAGTGACACAGGCCCCAAACTTTAGGGACCATTAGTGTAATTTGTCCTACTTCTATTCATTATATTTTTGATCATTACAAAAGATGACATATGCAATGTATATTCACCAATCCTAGATTCTGAATTTATTGTGTATAGCATGGATACAAGAGTAACAAGAGAAATAAAACCAAGTAATGAAATGTCTTAATAGTTACAACAATACTTGGTTACAACAAAATGAGTTTAAACTCAATACAAGTAAAGCCATAGGCTTAAACAAAATAATTATATCAAGAAACCAAAAATGAAGCTTCAAGCTTCAAGTCCTCCTAAGTTACGTTTTTGGTGGAGACATATCGTAAGCACCAGAAAGTTATTTTCCACATAGGGTGAGTCACAGCCCAGTAGAGATACTCTAACACAATATTAATCTTAACAAAATTATAAGATAAATGCACATGCATGCCATTTGTTAAACATTTCTCGTTTTCCAATCTGAAAATAATGCAATGCCAAATTATATATTCCCTCCGTCCCAAAATATTAGTCAATTTTCAAAAATCAAGTACAAAAATAATAAAAATTTCCTATTTTGCTCTTCTTTCAAATTCATTAACATAAAAAGTACAATTATGACATTGATATTCCCCAAAAAATGTACTATTAAAGGGTAATTTTGAAAAATTAATTTTTTTTAAAGTGCAATAATTGCATTACCAAAAAAAAATTGGATTTCCCAAAAGGGACCATTATTTTGGGATGAATGGAGTATCAATTTATGAAAATAATCATTTTGTACAAAAAACATGAC